CTCAGCATCCAGCTCTCTCAAGACTTTGTCTGCTCAGCTGATGTGAACCAATCAGATTGCTTAGAGCAGCCTGCCACTCAGGCTCACTGGCTCTGTTGTTGTTGGTACAGCACTTCTAAGACTCTTAAAAACCGTAGTCCATCGCAGAGTCATAAGAACAGACCAGTAGTCCATCTAGTCCAGCATTCTCACAGGGGCCTCAACCAGTTCCTCTGGAGTTTGAACAACAGGGCAGAGAGGCCTTCCCCTGATGTTGCCTCCTATCACTGATTATTCAAAGGTTAGTACCCATCATGGCTAGCAGCCGATTGATGAAACTCTCCTCCGTGAATCTGTTTAATCCCCTTTTAAAATCGTCTGTGCTAGTGGCCATCACTACATCCACTTGTAGTGAATTCCACAGTTTTATTACTCATTGAGTGAAGAAGTACTTCCTTGCGTCTATCCTGAATCTACTGCCCATCCACTGGGAAATATTGCCCATCTATTGCCCATGAGGCCCACAAGACCCTAACACAAGGAGACCCCCATTTTGTTTTATGGCTTGAGTCCCTTCTTTACAAGTTTATACCTGAATGTGGGCCTAGGAAAGATAGAAGGAGTTTGAATTAAATTGATATCAAAAAGCACTGAGTCATGCCAAGGAGGAAAGGAATGCTGGGCTGCTCCTCTATCAGTCATATGCATACACCCACTTTCAGAGGGATGCTATTGAGGGCCATTTGAGGGACCCTGGAGCTTCCTCCCAGCTAATCTGATCATAACCAACAATCCAGATTTCCAGAACAAGAAGCAAAGGGCCAGCTCCAGCAATCGCCTTCCTATCTAAATGACCAGATGGAAAGACCCCAACCCTTCCTGACCCATGGATGCATACATATCTGACTTCCAAATCTCCCCAAGTGAACATTTTTGACAGTGCAAATGCAAAAAGGTGCAGGGGGACGCCTCTGCATCTTATGGCCCCTCACACATGTATACAGGGTTGCCAGTCCCCAGGTCCCAGTGGAGGTTCCCTCACTTTTTGGGGCTTCTGCCTGCCACCAGCCAATAGGCTGGTGGGGGAAACCTGCCCCCAAACAGCCACATCCGGGTGCGACATCCCCAACATGGTGATGTCACCCAGAAGTGACATCATCACATCAGGGATGTCACGTGCAACGCTCTGGTTTGAGGGCAAAACTCTGTGGTAAATCTGGCCTAAAACCATAGAGTTTTACCCATAAACCAGAGCATCACTGCATGACATCGCCGATGTGATAACAGTACTTCTGGGTGACCTCATCATATTTATTTATTTATTTATTTATTTATGTTGGTGATGTCCTGGAACACCCATCAAAACCCCCCCGCTGGTGCTGCAAGGGGACCTGGCAACCCTACATGTATACCTATTTGGGTAACACCCGTCACCACTGATTGCCCCTGTGCTCCAGTGCTATGGCAGGGGGAGAAAAAGTTCTCTCTATCCACCGTCTCTGTTCTATACATATTTTTTATAAACCTCTATCATGACTTCCCTTAGTTGCCTTTTCCTTTTTTTTCTGGCTGATGGAAGAGGATAGAAAGGAACCCATTTTTGTGTCTATATGGGAACATTTACATGAACAATACAACCACATCCTTGATAACAAACACATGCTCATGTTTTTACTGCCACTGGGGACATCCAAAAATCTGGCATTTACCTGGTGATCAAGGCCTGGGCCTTCATTAGGCCAGTTCAGAAATAGGGCAATGGGCTACAGACCACGGAGAACTTTAGAAGTTGATATAATCACATCCTTGATATAAAGACCTCCTCAACTTCCAAAGCTGCCACCAGAATGCATCAGTGAGTCGTATTCTGCGACTGGGAATATCAAGAAATGTACAAAATAGAGATTTACATTCATCCCACACAGGGAGATATTTGTGCTCCTCCTGTGGGTGCAGCACGTGTAATCTCTCCCCCCCATGGGAATGATGTACCAAGACCCACTTCAGATGGCAATAATCAGCATGAACAACAGGAAAGCATGGTTCCCTCCCACTTCCTGTGCTCAAACATATGACTAACATCCAAAGCCCCTTCAAGTTCGGACTGTTGGCTGCACGCTGAAATCTGTGTTAATCGACAAAGCCCATTTCTCGTATCAAGTCGTACATGCCTGCACAGATGCAGTAGGAACAGTATACTTTTAGTCCTATGCATATTAAACATTTCCTCTAAATGCTTACTGATTTCTTGGGTTCTGTGCCTTTGGCTTGTGGGTTAATCTGTTCTGTTTCTGCGGCAACATTTTGGGGACTGAGCTGTGTAGTTAATATCAGATGGTGGCTGACTTCCCTCCAACCTTACATTGACTGGTACAATGTGAAGTAGTTAAAAAAACAAAATACCTTGGAATTGAATTAACGGCAAAAAATATAGACCTATATAAGAATAATTATGAGAAATTATGGACTAAGCTGACTCAAGATTTTAAGAAATGGGATAAAATGAACTTATCACTGATGGGAAGAATATCAGTTATAAAAATGAATGTCCTACCACGTTTGATGTTCCTGTTCCAAACAATACCAATTCTGCATAAAACGGATTTGTTGGCCAAGTGGCAACAAGAGTTGTCAAAATTTGTTTGGGCAGGCAAGAAACCAAGGATCAAAATGAAAATACTTTGTGATGCCAAAGAAAGAGGAGGTCTACAAATGCCAAATCTTAGACTATATTATGAAGCGGTTTGTCTAACATGGATGGATCAATGGGTGAAGCTTGAAAATGACAGATTGTTGGGGTTGGAAGGGCATGATTGTAGATTTGGCTGGCATGCATATTTATGGTATGACAAGATAAAAATGGACAGTTTTTTTAAACTTCACTTGGTGAGAAAAGCTTTGTATATGGTATGGACAAGATATAAGAAGTACCAGAGTGACTTAAGACCATTGTGGATTGTACCAGTAGAAGTGTTGATATCTTACTCAAGACAGCGAGGTAGAGACTGGTTGCCATATAGAGATTTAATTAAAAAAGAGGGAACAGAGTGGGTAATGAAAAAGCAGAATGAAATTGAATATGAATATGAGTGGTTGAAATATATGCAGATTTATGATCTTTTTAGATCTGACAAAAAAAACTATGGTTTTAGAGAGGAAAAAAATGAAATTGAAAAGGTTTGGGAGAGTGGAGGAGGAAAAAATATTTCTAAAATGTATAAGGTGTTGTTAAAATGGTATACTGAAGATGAAACTGTTAAAGAACAAATGTTAAAATGGGCTATTAATATGAATAAGGAAGTGGATATGGAAACTTGGGAATATTTGTGGAAAAACTCTATTAAGATCTCGACATGTACTAATGTTAAAGAAAACTGTTATAAGATGATGTATAGGTGGTACATGACACCTAAGAAGATTGCAAATATGAATCAAAATATGTCAAACAAATGCTGGAAATGTAAGAGGCATGAGGGCTCATTTTATCATATGTGGTGGACTTGTGAGAAAGCTGTAGACTTTTGGACAAAAGTCCACAATGAAATGCAAAAAATACTGAAATGTTCTTTTAAAAAAGCACCGGAAATTCTGCTTTTGGGACTTAAAATGGAAGAAGTCAATACGACTAAAAAGACTTTACTCTGGTACCTGATAGTGACAGCGAGAATGATTTATGCTCAGTTTTGGAAGACAGAAAAGGTACCAGAGGTTGAAGAATGGATACAAAAAGTTCTGTTCATGGCACAAATGGATAAGATTACAAAAAAATTGAATAACAAAGAAGACGATGAGTTTTTTGGAGAATGGAATGACTTTAAAATTTATCTGGAAAAGAACTGGGATGTGAAACAAAACTTAATATGTTTAGATCAATATTAAGTCAAATGATGTTATCTTTAGATTGTAATGATGGAAAACTGATATTGTTGATAATATGAAGTAATTTGGAGCAGGGGTGGAAGCATTGTGGGAAGCCATTGGAGGGAGGGGAGGAACTGGGAATGGGGTAGACAATTGATAGAATGAAATGTTTTATATGTTGTATTCCTGAGAAAATAAAATTTGTTTACCAAAAAAAACAACAAAGGTTAGTGCCTCTGAACATGAAGGTTCCCCTTAGTCACCATGGCTAGTACCCACCAATAGACCTGTTCTCTGTAAATCTATTGAATTCCCTTTTCAAGTTGCACAAATGAAGCAGCTACGGCCCAGGTTGCCGTCCCTTTCCTCTGACTTCTTCAGGCCACTGTATTAATGGTAGAACCCCCAAAGCTCTAGAAGTTAACTCCGACTCTCTAGAAGTTCACTCTAACTTTGAGCCTGCCTTGGGGGGGGAGGGTGGGGTATAAATTGAATCAATCAGTCTATCACTCCATGAAATAAATCTTGCTGGCCTCTGATCAACTCTGTGAGGGAAGTTTGGCTGAGTATGTGTGACTGGCCGAAGGTCACCCAGCATGCTTCCACGGGTGAGTAGGGATTCGAATCTGTGTCTCTAGTCTTCTAGTCTGACACTCGAACCAGCCATGTCAAACAGATGGCCTGGGAGCTGGAACAGGCCCATCCAGGGCTTTTATTTGGCCTGTGAGGAACTTGGGGGAAACCAGTCCAAATGTGGACCGGAAGGGCCGATATTAGGGTATTAGACCCCCTGCTGAGGTCCCTCCTTTCCCCAAACGCAGGCCCGCCCCCAGGTCTCCAGAGATAGCCCAACTCAGAGTTGGCAACTGTAAGGGGTGAGGAGGGTCAGTTTGGCCTCGAGCCCTGCTGAGGAGGGCTATGGGTCAGTGTCAGTGACAAAATATCTCTGGTACCTCACATTACATTTTATGGCCAGTTTGGTGTAGTGGTTAGGAGTGCAGACTCTAATCTAGGAGAATCAGGTTTGATTCCCCACTTTTCCACATGCAGCCAGCTGGGTGACCTTGGGTCAGTCATAAGTTCTTTCAGAGATGTTCTCTCAAGGGCAGTTCTCAAGAGAGCTCTCTCAGCCCCCCCTTACCTCCCAGGGTGTCTGTTGTGGGGAAGGGAAAGGAGATAGTAAGTCGCTCTGAGACTCCTTCAGGTAGTGAAGGGCGGGGTATAAACCCAGTCTCTTCTCTCTTCTTCTTCTACATGGCCCAGCCCGACAAAGTGACATTTATGTCAAATCCAGCCCTCATAACAAATGAGTTTCGACACCCCTGCCACTACCCCACTGAGGCAGATCAAGACGGTGGCCGCGTTAGTCCGTCTGTAGCGGTAGGAAAAAAAGCAAGAGTCCAGCAGCACCTTAAAGACCAGCAAAAATGTCTCGGCAGGGTGTGAGCTTTCAGAAGACGTGAGCACTGACTCACTAAAGTTCATACCGTGCCACAAATTCTGTTAAGTCTTTAAGGTGCTACGAGACTCTTGCTGTTTTCTACCCCACTGGCCCTCTGTCGTCGCATCCTTCCCTCGCCTACTCTCACGCCAGCATTATTCCTGTGACAGAGAAGCGGAAAGACCCTGAGGAGCGAAACCCAACAAGTAGCGCGTTCCTTCTCAGCCCTGAATGAGCAAGTGGCCAGTGAATCGGGCTACAATGTGCGCTCCGTGAGGGAGGAGAATAAGAAACACACGCCTTCTACTCAGGAACTCTACGAGAAGAAAACTCAGATGCGCTGCTCATGTGAGTGGGTGAAAAAGTGGAAGAGTGGGGGAGAGGGGGGGTACACCGGGGGTCATTTCCTGCAGGACCGCACAGGAGCGGAGCTCCGGCAGTAGGAGGCGGGCACATGCAACAAGCCCCACCCCCTGCTCCCAGCAGCCCTCAGTCAGGTAAGTTGCAGAGCTTCCCCCGCCCCCCGGTCCAAAACAGTCCAGTGGCACCTTTAAGACCAAGTTTTGTTCAGGTACCAGCTCTCCCTCCTCTGCGAGGGCAGATCTGCACGTTCCTCCCCCCCTCCAATAGCTAGCAATCCAAAACAGTCCAGTGGCACCTTTAAGACCAAGTTTGGTTCATGTACCAGCTCTCCCTCCTCTGCGAGGGCAGATCTGCACGTTCCTCCCCCCCTCCAATAGCTAGCAATCCAAAACAGTCCAGTGGCACCTTTAAGACCAAGTTTTGTTCAGGTACCAGCTCTCCCTCCTCTGCGAGGGCAGATCTGCACGTTCCTCCCCCCCTCCAATAGCTAGCAATCCAAAACAGTCCAGTGGAGCCTGAGCGGTGGGTTTTGCCTTCTGACAGACTTCCGGTGATGCCAGGGGGTGTGGGATATCCAAATGTTATGCTGATGAGTTATGCTAATGAGCTCCTGCACCTCTTTTTCTGTGAAAGGACCCCTGGGGTACACCATCACGTGCAAGGGCCCAGTGTGAAAGAAGGTCAGTTGGCTCGACTGGCCTAAACCCCACAACCAGTGCTCCCTGTAAGCTGTGGAGTCTTGTGAGCAAAAATTCTCCTTTGAGAGCTACTGGCATTAAAGTTGTGAGCGAGCGATTGGGCTACTGCATAAATCAGTTTGCTCTGGAGCCCTCCTTCCTGAGCTAAGACAAAAATGTGTGAGCCGGAGGCTAAAAAACTGTGAGCTGGCTCAGACTAACTCAGCTTAAAGGGAACACTGGCTGGCATGCAACGTAGAGGGGGATTTCTGTGCCAACGTGGGTTTGGTAGAACGGCGGAGCAGATGCTAGATGCAGAACGTGGGCCAGAGTGTTGGGCTGGATGGGCCACTGGCCTGATCGAAGATGGCTCTTCCTACCGTGACAATCCCACCGGCTCTGGGTAGGTCCCCTTTAGGCCGAGCAGACAGGCTAGCCCCCGGCCCCTTCCCGGGAGCCGGACTCCCCGAGCGTCATTAAAGCCAGGACTCGCTCTCTCTTCCCCCAGACATCATCGACCAGTCCATCAAGCGCTGCCAGGCCTGGTTCGAGGCCAAGTACCATGCCTGCTTGAAGAAGATTGCGGTGCCCGTCATCAGCCACCTGCTCTGCATCCCCATGAAGTTCAGCTTCCTCTGCCACCTCGCCAAGAGTGAGTCTCTGCCAAGGAGCCGTTGTTCTTCCCACGGGGCCGGCCACGGGGCTGGTTTCGTGCCACTGGCATCGCTCGTTGCTTAGCAAAGAGGGAGGAAAATAGCTTTGTAGGTCACTCCGGCCGGGGGACGTCTCCGCTCTCGCACCAAATGGCTTCGAATGCTGGAAGTTACGTGCGGCTCCAAAATGGGGCTAATAACTCCTCCCACCCAGGGCTGTTTCATCTCAGGAAAATGGCGGGGGGGGGGGTAGGGTTGCACTTGCCAGTGGGGTTGCCAGATCCAGGTTGGGAGACTCCTGGAGATCTGTGCGGGGGCTGGAATCTGGGGAGGACAGGGACCTCAGTGGGGTAGAATGCCTCCAAAGCATCCATGTCTTCCCGTTTGGTGTACTGGTTAGGATCTACTCTGATCTGGGAGAACCGGGTTTGATTCCCCACTCCTCCTCCACATGAAGCCAGCTGGGTGACCTTGGGTCAGTCACAAGTTCTCTCAGAGGTGTCCTCTCAAGAGCAGTCCTCGAGAGAGCGCTCTCAGCCCCACCTACCTCGCAAGGTGTTCGTTGTCTGGGGAGGTGAACGGAAAGGAGATTGTGCACCGCTCTGAGACTCCGAGTGAAGGGCGGAGTACATATCCAACTCTTCTTCTTCCTTCTCCTCCACATGAAGCCAGCCGGGTGACCTTGGGCCAGTCACGGTTCTCTCAGAGCTCTCTCAGCCCCACCTGCCTCACAGGCAGTGTTCCCTCTAAGCTGAGTTAAGTGTGAGCCAGCTCACTGTTCTTTAGCCTCCGGCTCACACATTTTTGTCTTAGCTCAGGAAGGATGGGGCTCTGGAGCAGACTAATCTATGTAGCGGCCAAATCATTTATTTAGTTTTGTATGGAGGAGCAGTCGTCTCTATGAGAGTCATTTTCCGTGACCTGCTGTCTTTTTATGTGCAAAGAGATTTCTTTTTCCTTTGGAGGAGCATTCGATCGGTGCCAGAGGCCTCCTCGCTGACAATAAGCATTAAAGAGGCTTTCCTTTGCTCCTGGAGGCAGGGTTGCCAGCCTCCAGGTGGCGCCTGGAGATCTTCTGCTATTGCACTTGATCTCCAGATGGCCGAGATCAGTCCCCCTGGAGGAAATGGCAGCTTTGGTGGATGGACTCGATGGCATGGTACCCTGATGAGACCCCTCCCCTCCCCTCCCCAAAGCTCGCCCTCCCCTGTCCCCCCGCCAAAAAATCTCCAAATATTTCCCAGAGCTGGCAGCCCTATGAATCAGACCTTCAGTCCATCAAGGTCAGTAATGTCTATTCAGACTGGCTGTGGCTCTCCAGGATCTCAGGCGGAGGACTTTCACATCCCCTACTGCCTGGTCCTTCCAACTGGAGATGCCTGGGATTGAACCGGGGACCTTCTGCATGCCAAGCAGATGCTCTCCCACTGAGCCAGAGCCCCTCCCCACCCTTGGTCCATCAAGGTCAGTATTGTCTACTCAGGGTCTCAGGCGGAGGTCTTTCACATCACCTACCACCTGGTCCTTCCAAGTGGGGATGTCGGGCATTTAATCGGGGACCTTCTGCATGCCAAGCAGATGCTCTCCCACTGAGCCAGAGCCCCTCCCCACCCTTGGTCCATCAAGGTCAGTATTGTCTACTCAGGGTCTCAGTCTTTCACATCACCTACCACCTGGTCCTTCCAACTGGAGATGCCGGGCATTGAACCGGGGACCTTCTGCATGCCAAGCAGATGCTCTCCCACTGAGCCAGAGCCCCTCTCGACCCTTGGTCCATCAAGGTCAGTATTGTCTACTCAGGGTCTCAGGCGGAGGTCTTTCACATCACCTACCACCTGGTCCTTCCAACTGGGGATGTCGGGCATTGAATCGGGGACCTTCTGCATGCCAAGCAGATGCTCTCCCACTGAGCCAGAGCCCCTCCCCACCCTTGGTCCATCAAGGTCAGTATTCTCTACTCAGGGTCTCAGGCGGAGGTCTTTCACATCACCTACCGCCCGCCTGGTCCTTCCAACTAGAGATGCCGGGGACTGAACCGGGGACCTTCTGCGTGCCAAGCAGAGGCTCTCCCACTGAGCAACAACCCTCATTCAGATTGGCAGCAGCTCTCCAGGGTCTCAGGCAGAGGTCTCTCACCTCACCTACTGCCTAGTCCCTTTTACTGGAGATAACAGGGATTGAACCTGGGATGCTCTGCATGCCAAGAAGAGACTGTCCCACTGAGCTACAACCTCTCCTTCGTGTGGCACCCCAGCTACAATTTGAAATCTTAGCGTTCAGGCACAGGTTTCTACGACCTCCACGAGAACGAGGCCTTTTGATCCCTCCCTATACTCCTCCCTCCATTTTCTCTTTTTTGCCAGTTATGAACGCTTGGTGCCGCGACAAGATTCCCGTGGACGGGAACTTTGGCCAGACCTACGACCGCGTCAACGGCTCCGTCGAGAACTTAAACCAAGACTTCTCTGCTGACTTGGTAGTCAAGGTGCGTGGGGTCCTTTGCCAGCCCAGCAGCCGAACCATGTGAAGAGAAGAAGAGGAGATTGGATTCATCCCCCGCCCTTCACTACCCGAAGGAGTCTCAGAGTGGCTTACAATCCCTTTCCCTCCCACTCCCCACAACAGACAGCCTGTGAGGAAGGTGGGGCTGAGGGAGCTCTTTTGAGGACTGTTCCTGAGAGAACAGCTCTGAGAGAACTTGTGACTGACCCAAGGTCACCCAGCTGGCTGCATGTGGAGGAGTAGGGGATCAAACCCAGTTCTCCTAGAATAGAGTCCGCGCTCCTAACCACTACACTGAATTGTGCCCCGGGTACCGTTGCTGAGGAATATAACTCCACCTTCTGTCTCCTCCCTCCCCCAGGAAGAACACCAAGCAATGCTTGTGGGTGCAAACATCTCTCACCAACACTTGGTGGATGAGGTCAACGAACAGGTGGCTCTGCATGGCAGCCGTATCAGCACTTCCATGTCCGTGCTCCGCGTCTTGCTCTCCTGCACCTTCATCATCATTTTTGCCTCGTGAGCACAAGCAGGGCAGGGGAGGCGGGGCCTTAACGGGGAGGGCCCCTAGCCAAGTGGCACATCATGTGCTTGGCATGCAGAATATTAGGGTTGCCAGCTCCCGTTTGGGAAATTCCTGGAGATTTGGGGGTGGACCATGAGGAGGGCAGGGTTTGGGGAGGGGGGACTTCAGCGAGCCAGTTTGGTGTCGTCTTTAGGAGCGCGGACTCTAATCTGGGAGAACCGGGTTTGATTCCCACCACTCCTCCACATGCAGCTTCTGGGGTGACCTCGGGTCAGTCACAAGTTCTCCCAGACCTGTTCTCTCTAGAGCAGTCCCCGAAAGAGCTCTCTCAGCCCCACCTACCTCACAGGGTGCCTGTTGTGGGGTGGGGAAGGGAAAGGAGATTGTAAACCGCTCTGAAACTCCTTCGGGTAGTGAAGGACGGGGCATAAATCCAATCTCTTCCTCCTGTGCCAGAGAGTCCTCCTTCCAAAGCGGCCACATTCTCCAGGTAATCTCTGTCCCCTGGAGAGCAGCTTTAATCTCAGGAGATCTCCGGCTACCCCCTGGAGATAGGGTTGCCAGCTCTAGAATGGGAAATAGCTGGAGATCTGGGGGGGTGGAGCCTGAGGAGGGCAGGGTTGGGGAGGGGAGGGACTTCAGTGGGGTATCCTGCCCTAGAGTCCATCTTCCAAAGCAGCCATTTTCTCCAGGTCAGCTGATCTCTGTTGCTTGGAGATCAATTGTAATAGTAGGCAGGGCTATTTTTGGGCAGGAACGCACAGGAACGGAGTTCCGGCTGGCTCCCAAGTTGACCACGCCCAACAAGAACTTATTAGCATAATAGGCCACACCCAACAGCAGAAACACATTAGGATTGGCTACATTAGGGGTGTGTGGCCTAACATGCAAAGGAGTTCCTGCTACAAAAAAAGGCCCTGGGTTTTGACAACAAACAAGGTAAACAGAATAAGAAGCAAAAGGTGGGTGTGGCTGGATGACCACACTTCTGGTAACATGGGGGTGTGGCCTAATATGCTAATGAGCTGTGCTGTCAGGGGTGTGGCTGGATATGCTAATGAGTTTCTGTTGTTGGGTGTGGCCTATTATGCTAATGAGTTCCTGCTGGGCTTTTTCTACCAAAAAAAGCCCTGATAGTAGGAGATCTCCAGCCAGTACCTGGGAGGTTGGCAGCCCTACCTGGAGATGGGCCCCTCTACCGAAGGTTCAGTCCACGGTCTCTCCAATTTAAATCACCTCAAGGGTTGAGAGCTGCTGGCCATCCAGTCTAGGGTGGCAGATCTTCAGGGACTCGAGGGGGACAAGCCGTGGAGATATGGGGAGGCACCAAGAAGATTGGGAGGAGCCCAGTGAATGGGGGGTGGAGCCTCAGGGCATGGAATAGTCGCAGGCAGGCTGGGGCAGAGCCTAGTGGAAGGGAATAGTGCCAGTCAAGTCGGAAGCGGAGCCTAGCAGAAGGGAATAGACTCAGGTGGGTCAAAGGCAGAGCTGAATGGAAGGGAACGGTGTCAATCATAAGAACATCAGAGAAGCCAATGTTGGGTCAGGCCAATAGCCCATCCAGTCCAACACTCTGGGTCACACATTGGCCAAAAATACCAGGGGCCATCAGGAGGTCCGGCAGCGGGGCCAGGACACTAGAAGCCCTCCCACTGTTGCCCCCCCCCCAAGCACCAAGAATACAGAGCCTCACTTGCCCCAGACCTCTGTTGTGGCTATTAGCCACAGTCAAGTCAGGGGCGGAGCCTAGCAGAAGGGAATAGACTCAGGCAGGTCAAGAGCAGAGCCTAGTGGAAGGGAATAGTGCCAGTCAAGTCGGGGGTGGAGCCTAGCAGAAGGGAGTAGTCTCAGGCGGGTCAGGGGCAGAGCTGAATGGAAGGGGATAGTGTCAGTCAAGGGGCGGGGCCTAGCAGAAGGGAATAGTCTCAGGCGGGTCAGGGACAGAGCCTAATGGAAGGGGATAGTGCCAGTCAAGTCAAGGGCAGAGCCAAGCAGAAGGGAATCAGGCAGGTCGAGGGCAGAGCCTAGTGGAAGGGAATAGTGCCAGTCAAGTCAGGGGCGGAGCCTAGCAGAAGGGAGTAGTCTCAGGCGGGTCAGGGGCAGAGTTGAATGGAAGGGGATAGTGCCAGTCAAGTCAGGGGCGGAGCAGAAGGGAGTAGTCTCAGGCGGGTCAGGGGCAGAGCTGAATGGAAGGGAATAGTGCCAGCCAAGTCAGGGGCAGAGCCTAAGAGTCCGGCAAGTGATGGGTGGGTTTAGCGGGAGGGGCTTGTTGGGATCAATAGGTTGGATTCAGACAGACAGGGCTGGAGCGGCTTCCCACCTCCAGCACTGCCTAGGCGTGACCTGTCCCCCAAATCCCTTTCCCAAGGGCACAGTCCTACACAAACAGTTTCAACCAAGATGTCCGCTTCGACAACATCTACATCACCCGCTATTTCCGGCAGATCGATGCCCGGCGTCGGAAGCAGGTAAGAGCGGTCAGTGACGGCAGGGCAGGCATAGCCAGGGCAGAGAGGGTCCCAGTCATCACGGACCACCTGGGCCAGCCGATGTTCAGAGGGAGGAAGCCGGAATCTAGGCCCCCTGTTCTTTGAGGTGGATCGCTCCCCCCCCCTTCCTGGTAGGGGGAGAGATTTCCTGGGGAAACTGAGTCTGAGCTTGTGCCTGCTATGCTGTGAGAACAGTTCAACCAATCAGGGTCAGTCTCGGTTGCCAGCTCCGGTTGGGAAATACCTGAAGATTTTGAGGGTGGAGCCTGGGGCGGACAGGTATAGTGCCACAGAGTCTAGCGTCCAAAGCAGTCATTTTCTCCAGGGGAACTGCGCTCTGCCACCCTGGGGATTTAGTTGTGATCTCCAGCTGCCACCTGGAGAGTGGCAAGCTTATCTGTCACTCCCATCGATTGCTCTCTCTCCCCCCCCCCTTTCCCGTCTTTTCCCTGGAATTTTCCAGAAGAAACGGACTCTCCTTCCTTTGCGCCGTGCCGAGCTTCCTAGCTATATCGATCCTTACCATCTCATGTTCCAGCCGGCTGAGACCAAGAACCTGGTGAGTGTATGGGATGTGCAGGCAGAGACCTAGGAAGTCAGTGGGGAAGTTGGAGTTTGGTGGCAAGGCCTTTCATCAGCATGCTGAAGGGGATTTCAGAGGGAGTGGCGTCTCTCCCGTCCGGGTAACAAGCTACACTTACCCAAATCCCATCTCCCATGCAGTTAACAGGCCACCTCAGAGAGCCAGTTTGGTGCAATGGTTAGGAGCGCGGACTCGAATCTGGGAGAACTGGGTTTGATTCCCCACTCCGCCACATGCAGCTGCTGCAGTGACCTTGGGTCAGTCACAAGTTCTCCCAGAGCTGTTCTCTCAAGGACTGTTCAGGAAAGAGCTCTCTCAGCCCCGCCTACCTCACAGGGTGTCTGTTGTGGGGAGGGGAAGGGAAAGGAGAGTGTAAGCCGCTCTGAGACGCCTTCAGGTAGTGAAGGGCGGGATATAAATCCAATCTCCTCCTCCTCCTCCTTCTCCACCTGGGCAGTGTTTCTGCAATTTAGCTTCAAAATCTGGTGTTCGCTTTCCAGCCAAGGTAGCTAGCTAGAGGGTTGCCAGCAGGGGTCATTTCGTAGAAAAAGAGGTGCAGGAGCTCATTAGCATAACTCATTAGCTTAACTTATTTGCATATGCCACACACCCTGACATCACCGGAAGTGTGTCAGAAGGCAACACCCACCGCTCAGGCTCCACTGGACTGTTTTGGATTGCTAGCTATTGGGGGGGGGGAGTGCAGATCTGTCCCTCACAGAGGAGGGAGAGCTTGTACCTGAATAAAACTTGGTCTTAAAGGTGCCACCGGACTGTTTTGGATCAGGGGGACCGGGGAGGGGGGCTCTGCAGCTTACCTGGCTGCTTCTTGCTCTGACTGAGGGCTGCTGGGAGCAGGGGGCGGGGCTTGTTGCATGTGCCCGCCCCCTGGGCTCTTTACTGCCGGAGCTCCGCGGAGCGCTCCTGCAGGAAATGACCCCTGGTTGCCAGTCTGAGTGGGGAAATTCTGGGAGATTTGGGGAGGGGGAGATCTGGGAAGGCAGGGTTTGGGGAGGGGAGGGACCTCAGCAGGGTATAGTGCCATTATAGAGTCTAAAGCAGCCATTTTCTCCAGGGAAGCCGATTGCTATAGGCTGGAGAGTAGCTGTAATTCTGGGCCATCTCCAGGCCCCACCTAGAGGTTATGGAAAGATATATGACACTGTGTATAATAGATGTATGTTTAGTTTAGATCTATTTTGTGCCTTTTATTTTTCTTTAAAATTTTTTTTCTATACTATTATATAAATATTGGTGATAGAACTTGAGAGATATGTTCTCCTAGATAAGTTATTATGTTTGCTGCAAGGGTTCCAGTGGGACCCTAGAAGATATGCGGCTATTTTATGAGATTTATACTCACCAAGAGAATTTATTGTGCCTTGAGTCTTGTGTGTACATCACTGTCCTTGGAAAAGATTGCATTCGATATGGGTAAATCACTAGAGTCCCCAGGGACTAGTGATTGTGAAACTGACAAGTTGCTGTTTGAATGTCTGAGCATAGTGTAAAAAACCTGCACTTTGATGTATTGTTTTGGTGAACCTGTGCTTGGTAGTACTCGACACCAATAAAAAGCACAAAATACATCTATCTTAAGCATGCATCTATTATAAAGGTAAAGGTAAAGGTAAGATTATGGCATCCGGCCCCATCACTCCTTGGCAAAGTAGTGACAGACTTCACGTTCCTGGGATCCCAGATCACCGCAGACTGTGACAGCAGCCATGAAATTAAAAGACGCCTGCTCCTTGGGAGGAAAGCGATGGCGAACCTAAACAGCATGATAAAAAGTAGCGACATCACCCTGCCAACAAAAGTTCGCATGGTCAAAGCAATGGTATTCCCAGTAGTCATGTATGGCTGCGAGAGTTGGACTATAAGGAAGGCCGAGCGCCGAAGAATAGATTCTTTTGAACTATGGTGCTGGAGAAGACTCTTGAGAGTCCCTTGGACTGCAAGAAGATCAAATCAGTCAGTCCTAAAAGAAATCAACCCTAACTGTTCCCTGGAAGGCCAGATAATGAAACTGAAGCTCAAATACTTTGGCCACCAAATGAGAAGGGAGCACTCACTGGAGAAGACCCTGATGCTGGGAAAGATTGAAGGTCAAAGAAGACGGGGACGGCAAAGAATGAGATGGTTAGACAATGTCATAGATGCAACGAACATGAAATTGAGCCAACTTCAGAGGACGGCGGAAGACAGGAGGGCCTGGCAGGAGATCAAAGAAGGCGGGGACGGCAAAGAATGAGATGGTTAGACAATGTCATAGATGCAACGAACATGAAATTGAGCAAACTTCAGAGGACGGCGGAAAACAGGAGGGCCTGGCGAGATCTTGTCCATGGCACCGGTGTAATCTTCGCGGGGGCTGGGGGGCTGGCGC